TGAGCAGTTGATCCACCCTATTGTGCTTGCTGGCCTCTCTGTGTGTATCTGTATGCTTTGTTTCACAAAAAGAAAAGATTTTAGAGAGGCTGGTGCATATATCATGGCATAAGAAAAGCACGCCGTTGGGGAAGACTGGGGTTTTCCCACTAAATCAAGTCAAGCCTGTAGTTATGCCCTATGAGTCTCAAGATGGTAAGCGCTGCAGTACCAAATTCAATTTTACATAGCATTGGGAAGCAGATTGCCTTCGGAGACCACATGTTCAAATACCTGCTAAGCTATAAACTCACATGACTGGCTTTGAAACCTCAGCCTCACAGCTCTTATCTGTAAAAAGAAGACCATCATGACTTATCTCCTGCACGATTTGCCCACAAAAATCACTAACCTGCAAAAAACCTGCATTTGGGACCGCTTGTGGAATAACCTGGTTGCTATTTTGTGGTGATCATGTGACATAAAGGGAATTAGCTTCCAGCTCAACCCCGATCTGTGCCCATGCGGGACCTTTTTTCACTATTTTGGACTACTATTTTTGGGGGGGGGGCAGGCTGGAGTGATTCTCATGCGGGACCTTTTTTCACTATTTTGGGCTACTATTTTTTTGGGGGGGGGCAGGCTGGAGTGATTCTCAGATGTATGGAAGGGTCACTCTAAGTGAGATCGCTCCCTGCAAGGTGACCCTTTCCGGTGCAATAGGATGTGTGCCTTTCCTCTGTCAGTATGGAAGGGTCACTCTAAGTGAGATCACTCCCTGCAAGGTGACCCTTTCCAGTGCAATAGGATGTGTGCCTTTCCTCTGTCTAATAACACCAAATGATATCCTGCTGTGAGGTTGGTAGTGGAAGGAGGCAGAGCGCTGACCCGCCTGCCATGGGCCACTACATGACTGTGCTGGGTTTTGGGGAGAGAGGATTTTTTGGGGTTCTTTGTGGGGTTCAGAGAAGGGATTGAGTGCTTAATTGTTTCTCTTCCAGATTCCTGACCACCATTCCTTGTCACATAAATCTACTAGGGAAGTGCCAGAGATAAATCAGAGGTACCTTTTAAGGTTTGGTCCTCTGGAACCTAGGGGACGTAACTTAATATACTTGTCCGAATCTTGATTTCATTTTATATCCTTTAATCCCACGTGCATTTTCTTCCTCTCTTTCTCTCTTTTTTCCCTCCTCTTCACATCGGGCTGTGAGAAATGCCCTATAAGCCTTACAGAAATCTCTGGATTTTCCAGATGCATTTCTTCACACAACAAATCTTGGTAGGATGAGAAAACACTCATGGGATCTTTTCTCCCCCTTGTGGGGTTGCACGAATAAGAACAGCAGTATTTACATAATGAGAAAGAGGTCACAGAAGATGACAAAGTGGTGATTGTGAAAAAATCCTTAGAGGGAACCTCAATTAGTTCTCAACATTTTTTTTTGTTTCATGGTGGATGCTGCATATTTAGATGGGGTGGTGAAGATAGGAGGGAGTGAATGCCTATACTATTTATTTATTTATTGGACTTATATACTGCCCCATAGCGCTACAAGCACTCTCCGGGCAGTTTACAATTTTTAATTATACAGGCTACACATTGCCCCCCCAGCAAGCTGAGTACTCATTTTACCGACCTCTGAAGGATGGAAGGCTGAGTCAACCTTGAGCCGGCTACCTGGGATTTGAACCCCAGGTCATGAGCACAGTTTTAGCTGCAGTACAGAGTTTTAACCACTGCGCCACGAGGCTCATTTTTCCCTCATTTTCCCATACTAAACAAACATGCTTGTGGATAGGCATGGAGTACTGGTGTAAAGGGTCAGTCCCAAAGTCCTTTATATTTAAATAGGCTTTGGGCAACTAGCTGCTGAGGAAAGGTTTTTTTAGGGAGCTTTTGCTGCAGTTTAAGGAAAATACTGATGTGCTTTTGCAATTTTAATTATACGCCAAAAATGTTACCTTTCTGATTACTAGTTTTAATACTATAATTTGTTAAATCTCTGTCCAGCCAGATTGGGCATTTTAGTATGCCAGCATCACATTTGTTGCAGAAATTCCAGAACCGACAAGATCAGTGTTCTGTGACATTGCCACTTGAAGAGTTGTGTATGTTATTTATTCAGAGTTATTTGTAGCATGCCTTTCTCCTGATGAGATATTGTAAGCAATATCCCCAATTTCCGACCACTTGCCATGTACTGTGCATTTGCTTTGTTGTTGTTTTCACAGGCAAAAACTATCTAGGAAAAAAAATTATCCCAATAAATCTGCATTTTTCCATTGGGGTACTTTTGTGTCTTAGCCAAGGAAATGTAATAGGACATGAAATACCCCATGCTGTTTTTCATTTTTGTTTAGCAAGCCATGATGTTGAGAAGCACAAACAGCATACAATGACTATTAGTGGAGCCCTGATCAGTTATTGTGCTTGAAATCATGGAGAGATTAATGGGTAGTGCGAATGGATCACGTACATAACCCCAAATTCTGCAATTCCATGTGCTACACCTCAGTGACACTTTCATGTATTTTTAATGGACATGTATGCAAAGGAGTCTGCAAACATGTTAAGTTGACATGCATAGAGTGGTCCTATGCTTGAGTTTTGCCTCATCAGAGCTCTTGATCATGGGGGGCACTGTAGGTACATGTAAGGTTCCTAGCATAATGCCCACAATAAGGTATCATACTAAATATAATAAATCCACATTAAAATATGTGATGGTCTTGCAGATGTCTGGGTGGGGATGGGGCAAGTGGAGCTTATTACTTTCTCCCATCCCTACCAACCATTTAGTCATACAGTACATAGTTTTCAGGTACAACACTCAAACAGGACTTGGTGGTGGTGGGACACTCAAATTCTCAGTTTTAGTAATGTGTTTCTGTGAACCACACATACAGCTTCTTCTGAAACCAACTGTGGAAAGTTTGAGAGCTTCGAGACAAAGCGTTTTCCACCATCACTACTGTGTATGCCCAGTGACACCCTAATGGCTTTCCCTCCATTCTCCTTTGTCAGCACTTGGAAGCAACTTCAGTACAGTTTTCCAATCATGTTGCAAGCCACTTTGATTCTCAGGTCTGGTGGGAAGAGCGGAGGTACAGCATACATATGGAAATAAATATTATGGGTGTATATAATAATCTGTTAACCAGAAATTAGAAATTATTGGCTCTCCAGCTGTTTTAGCTAATAGCTCCAATTCAGCCCCCACTGAGCACAGCCAAATGTGGGAGTTGTCATTCCAAATATCTGGAGGGCCAAGGGTTCCCCATCTCTGCTACAGCACTGTATTAATTATTTTTAAATGGCATTGTATTCACAGAATGCAATCAGGAGAAGTGAGGGCTACATGCAGTTTTTAGATAAACATAGACATCTGCCATGGAAGGAAGCCGTGTTCCTTAATTTTAAGCATATGGGAACAAGCCGCTGTTACTCAATCATGAGGGAAAGATATGTGCAACAATTTTTTTGGTATAAATTATTATATGACATGATACCTGTTTCTTGAAAGGAGCAAGGAAAGGCAATGATAGAGAAGACAGCAGTATATTTAAACACCCTCCCTGCCTACATTGGCAAAAGGCACAGAAGTTCCCATCAAAGGTTGTGAGTTATGGCACACCTAATTTTAGTACTCTAGAAATGCAGGACACCATTTCAAGGCCAACATGTAGCTTTTGATCATGTTATTGTGAGGGCTGGAGACATGAAAGTTGATCATTCTTTGGTGGGGGTGGGGTGGCATCTTAAAATATATATAAACATTTTACTCACTTAAGTGGTTTGTTTTGTCCTTTGTATTATATGTGATCTTGTTAAACTGGCCACATTAAAGAGGTTTTCACATTTTGATAGGTGGGCAGGCAAACCAAATCCATATATACATTTCCTCGCAAGGCCCTTCTCTTACTCTGCTTCACAATTTTTCAGGCAGTTGTATGAGTCATGTGCCATTTGTATGGGAAATCCATTGTTAAGTAATTTACCCACCTTCTCTGGTTGTCTAAAATCTAATTGCTAGAGCCTCCTCACCTTCTTAAAAGCAGATCCAGAGCAAATAACTGAATCTCTTTTTTGTATTTGCAATGGCCCCCCTATATGTGCTGGAAAGTGAGCAATTTATTTATCATGTGCCAGCACACCCTGTGCTGTAATTACACACCAGCACAATAGCCTATTTTGCTTAATAGGGGGGGTTAGCAGTTCTCATTTTGTCTGCACATTCCCTTCTGAATGCTATTAAAAAGAAAAATGCAAAGGGCAGTGTTGAATGCTGATGTTCGGTGATTCTCTTAGTGGAATTTAAATTTTTACGCCCCCCCCCAGTGTAGTTGGAGAAAAAAAAATACTTGTTTCTAATTGGATGCCATTTTCTCACTACCGTTCTTCAAGTCATAGTCTGCTTTACATTCCATTTTGTTGTGAGACATCAGCTTTGTAAGTTCACCAAAAGGAAATAAGCAAGAGCTCCAGGAGTTCACAAAGCCGAACAGATGGTATAACATGGAGGAAAGGATGGTGCAACTCATGATGTCCCTGGGGTTTCGTAAATAAAAACTATGTGGGTCATCTATAGTGAGATTTTAAGGCATTGGGAGAGGCCATTACTTAATAGCAATGTCACTACAGCCCTACCTAGGGGTACAAGAGCTAGTGCTGGGCCCACCACTGTTTTGTTTTGTAGGACTCACAGACCGTGGAAAGGTTATCTGTAAAGGAAACTCTCCTCTTCAGCTTGTCACTGTGCAACATTGAGGGAGGAGCTGGTACTCCCCTTATCGCCTCCTGCATCCAGACCAAACTTTCTTGATTGCCTAAATAGGACTTATAGCTCTATGCCAGCTACTCACTTTGCTTTCCACCCAATGGCTTGAAATCAAAATGTGAAGAGGTAATAGCCTTAAAAAAAAAGCATTTGTACTTTTCTTTTTCTGACAGGGGACTTGAGAAAGTATTTTGCTTCTTGAGGCAGAAAACAAATTGGTGCCCCTGCTCATTCCCACACAGAAGCCAACTGGATTGGCAATTAGATTTTATTTCAACATGGCAAGGGAGGGGGACATCCTTCATACCACACCTCAGTGCATTAGGCTAGATTGAGGAGGGATGCGGGAACAGCAGCACACCGATCTTTGTCTGCCGGCAGAGGGACTGGTCAGAGCACTTAGAAGGACAGTTGTGTGTGTGTGGGATATTGACACTGCTGCCCAGTTTGGCCAGTCCTATTTTGGGGGAATTAAGGAAACATTTGTTACATGTGTATAATTCTGGAACAGAAAACGTCCCTCCCCACAAGATCTGGTCAAACGTCTCTGGAGGTTGAAATAAGTAGAAATGACACAAGCCATCCTCTTCCACACAACCACCTTTAATAGCACTGTTCAGAATGAGGAAGCAGGCTAGGCCAGCTTGGCCCTTGATCCCAGCCTCCCCCATCCCAAATCCTGAGACCACACACACTGTATGACACGCCAGTCTGAATGGAGACAGTAGCTGTGGCTGATGAGTGCCAGCAGGGCTGGTGCGTTTGTGGGTGCCTGTGCAGGAGGAGGTATGGTGATGGTGGTCTGTGAGTGGCAGTAAATGAGGCAAGACACTTGGCTTGAGCCCGCTCACCTTAGCTGCCAATGAGCTGCCCTATCCAAGGGCCTCCCAGCTGGATTTCGAAACTTCGCTGTTGCACATTTAGACAAAAAAAAAGAAAAGGGAAATGATGGCCTTTCGAGTCGGACCTCTGCTTCCCCCGCTCCACACACACACCCCTGTCAACTCAACCTATGGTGCTCTTAAGTAATGGGTGAACTCTCTTTTTGTTTTGTCAGGGGAGGGGATCAGTTGTGCCGTGATCTTCTCTTCTGTTGTGGGGGAAAAAAAAACAATTAAGACAGAGACACGGCTTATAAAGAAAAAGAGGGAGGTATTGCCATCAAAAGGACTGGCATGCAGGCTTCTTTTGTACAGTCATCAGCAGTCTTTATGAAAAGATGGTTCCGTGGTCACTGGGTCTGTACAGTTCAAAAATTGAGACGCAGCTTCCGCTGGTGGAGAGAGCCTCGCCCTTCCCCCTCCTCTCCTCCCATCCCTATGTGCAGAGGGTGATGCAGTTGAGTCCAAGGTGTCCCTTGCTGGATTTTGGCAAGAAGAGAGAAAAAGAGAACAGTTGAATGCATAGCGAATTCCTCTGTCATTTCCCCTACCCCATGCGGTGAACCTGAGCAGGATTCCCTGGCTTTCGGGGAGGGAGTTTCTGCCATTTGGTCATCGATAGTGCCGAGGGGATGCGGTCAGCACGCAATCTCTTCCAGCGTCCCAAGCGTTGTCTGCAGGGGGACTGTCACAGTGTGGCTGATGGGATCAGAGTGATTTGGCAAGGGCTCACACGTGCTCTAAGAACAGAAAGAGGAAGAGAAGTTAGTAGAGTGCAGTGGTTGCAAGAACCCTGCTTTCTTCCATGAGGTAGCCTAAGTAAGCCTTCTTCTGTTGATCTCATTTCTCCCTCCCCAACATGGGGATAAAAGCACTGGCCTACCTTCCATAAATTCCTTTGCCACACACGAGAAATGCTGTATGGGGATGGGAAAATCACGATTCTCCAAATGCTGCTGGATGGCGAAACCTATCCTTTCTAGGTCGCAGTGTGAGACAGTGTGAGTTGGTAGTTCTAAAATGTCTGGAGTGGCAGACATCCCACATCTATGGGCTAGGTATTACTGAAATCACTGCCTGGGGGTTGGATTGCATGACTCTCCAAATGCTGCTGGATGGCAAAACCTATTCTTTTTAGGTAGCATAACTAATAGCAAGAGACAGTATGAGTTGGTAGTTCTACAATGTCTGGAGTGCCAGACAGTCCACATATATGGGCTAGAAAAGACTGCTAGGTGTTACTGAAATCACTGCCTGGGGGTTGGATTAAGGAGGAGAAAAGAAAGATTTCCGTGGGCTATCAAGCATTTAGAACTAGAAAGCCTAGCAAGGATAAAATATCCCCCTTCCAAGTATATAGACCCAGCCTCTCCATTTAACCTAAACCGCTCAAAATGCTTACATGCCATCACCTGTGATTTTCAAACTCAAAATCCTGAGGTTCCAGGAATATATTCAGAATTTATGCTGGCTGGGGATGATGGGAAGACCTGTCTAATACATCTCCTAGGCAATTGGCTGGGAAAAGCTGATCTAATTAGATCTTTGCATGTCTGTGGCTAACAGCTATTTCCCCTTTAATGCAGTGTGATGGATGCAGTTTTTTCTTAACTCATAAGGACCATGAATTTCCACAGTTTTGCTTTTTCGTCAATTTCTGCCACACCGTGCCTCTCTCCCACCCTTGCCACAAACTTGACAGCAAATAAAGTTTTTAAAATCGCATCAAAAGATCACAAACACAAAGTTTTCTTCACCAGCAATAGATATGAATAACAAATGCTTTCCCTCCTGGCAATGGAAAATTGTGTCCATCTGTGTCTCAGCATGTTTGATTGTGTTTTGTAGAAGGTATGGTTCCAAGCCAACGGAGTCTTGTGGCACTTTATCCCAATTGATGGTGGCATCAGCTTCTGTCAACCAGAGCCTGTATCTTTCGGATGTATGAAATGATAATCTAATCCAGAATTGGACAGACATGAGGCTCACTGGATGTATGTTGTTGTTTTTACTGAAAAGCCCAGCTTCTCAACAACTGGAAACTTGTAAAAAGGCATCTGCTTGGACTTCACTGAATTCTGAACCTGTGGAATTGTTTTCAGTACCAGATATAAACATGGGTCACACAAATCTTTTGCACACAAATCTATTGCAAATTTACGCCAGGGAAATTCCGATTTATGTTCTGTCAACCTGTAACTTAAATAGGTGGGTATCTGACTCAACTACTCAGCAAAGGACTTCTTAAATGATCAGCTTAAGACTGAAATAAACTGTAAACCAGGCTCAGCACTATGGCTTTTCCCAGATGTTTGTAAATGCATGATAACTCATTTTAGAAAAAAAAATCAGCCAGTTTGGGAAGAGTTAAATGCAAATTTCAAAAAGGAGGAATATTGCAGTGTCAAACCTACTTTTAAGTCCTTGCAAAGACACTATTTTACTATCACCATGATTTTTATTCTAACAGAATAGAAAAGCTTCATGTTTGTGATCTGTTGATTGGGATGGCTTGAATAAAACCTGAATATTTTGGGGAGCAGAAGCAATTTTACAGATCACCAGTTGAGTTCCTTGGTGAAGGTCTCTTTTCTCCCCTCTTGAACTGGATTTAATTTTAATGAAGGTTCTTCTACTTCTAAGCTTACCTAGGCTGCCAGGAACATTAGGTAGTTGCAGTAAACAAGGAAGAGTGTATCTAAAGATTTATAGAACACATGTCTTGCATTTCTGAAAAATTAAAAGCCGTCCCCCTAGATCTATCACAAGGCTGCTGGGCTGCAAGGTCAGACAGCGCTGCTCTCAGGCAGATGATAGTGAGTCTTTGCATCTTGTTAAAAAGGCATACTGCCCTGCTTTTCCCAGTTGAACTGCAAGGGGCCTCCATGGTGAAAAAGCTGGACTGCCACTCAGGACCTGTTTGCTTTAAGGCCTGAGCATTTCTACCATGTCAGGAGTCTGGGTTGGTTTGTGCAAAACAAAAGGAAGCAGAATGCCTCTGCACATGTGCAGACTGCCATTCCCTCATCACGGGGGACAACTGCAAAAAGCTCTTGGACTACTGAGCTTGACAAAGAAAGAAAAAGCCATGACCACGGTCTTCTTCACCCTTTGGATAGTGAACTGCTCCGTCTTGCAACGGCTTTTGCAATTCTAGGCTTTGCCCTCTTCAGAACTTACAGTCTTGGCTGAAGACCTCACCCCTACTTACCACATTCTCATCGTGGCTTCCTTCCTCCTCCTCCTGGCCAAGGAGGTCTAACAATTTCTCCTTGAGCAGCTAAAAGAAATGGGGAAGAAAAGTGTGAGGCTCTCCATCCCAAAATATTGTGTGTATGTGTACGTGAGCATGTCCACCACCCTCAGGAACTATAGGAAAATAGATCCTTCCTCCTTTACATTCCATGAGGCTAGCGAGTTATTCTGCTTCTACTAGAATGTGCCCAGGGAGTGAGGCAGGTCTGGTGACCCACAAAAATGGCTGACTCCTGACCCAACTTCCTTTTGAGAAAATGAGGCTTTGGGTAATGGTGACAAGATAACGGTGCTCTGGACTGGGGACACAAATGGCAGAGTAAGGTCATGGGTGAGAGGGGCAACTCTTCCATTTGTCAGCCCATGTGCAGGGGGGAAAATGCTATTTAGGGCAGCGAAGCCATAACTCAGAAATACAAATAACCCTGTACATTTCTGCTTCTTACATCCAAAATTTCACTCTAACTTGTGTACCAACTTCAGGATAAGAAACATGATTTGTTTGGAAAACCAAAATGGACCTGCAATTTTGTTGATGCTTATTTACTTCCTTTTAATATCCTGCTACAAACCGTATGATGGCAGTTTTAGACAGACCATTATTCTCTTAGGTGCAGCATAATTTCATTTGTAGGGGGATAATAGTATAATGGATAGGATTAATGTCACAAAACTTCATCTTGTGTTGTCTCAGAGATAAACCAGGTGCCATAGTGTACTTCTGTGCAGAATTGGATCTGCTGTCCAAACTCTACAAGACAGAGGAAGGACCATTCAAAGTGCATCAAGGAAGCTGGGGAGAGCCAGAAGCCTTTTCATTTGTTTTCCCATTCTCACTGAAACTACTTTTAGCTGTTTTTGTTCTGTGGGGATCCAAGCCCAGAAAGAGGAGCAAAAACCAAACAAAGTCCAGCAGTTATGGGTGTAAGAACATACACAGGAGAGGGAGAAGAGAGTAAAGGTTCTCCTTTCCATTCTGCATTTTACGTTCCACTCCACCAGCAACATTATACAGGAAATTTGTAGTAATCAAGTTGGATCCGGTTATCATATCTAGTCATACTCTCAGTAATACAACATATTGCTCAATGGTGTTGTCCTCCAGACGTTTCCGATTATAACTCCTATAGGCACAAATCATAACCCATGATGGCTGAGAAAGATCAGAAATGTAGCCCAAAATGTCTGGTTGATGCCATGTAAGGCAGGGGTCCCCAATCTTTTTCACCCTGTGGACCGGCGGCTGGGGAAGGCGGGGCAACCCCCGCACTCAAGCGCATGTGCACATGAGTTCTCTCTTGTGCGTGCGCTCGTGCACATGGGTAAATGGCGGCACGGGGCTTGTGCAGGTGCACGCATGCTCATGCACATGCACAAATGGTGGTGCGGTGCTTGCACGGGCACACTGGAGCACGTGTGCAGGTGCAAACAGGCTGTGCGGGGGTGACTGTGTGCAGGGGGGCGGGAGGACTGTCTTTGCGGCCTGGTCCAGCTCAGGCCACGGACCAGCACCAGGCCGCAGACTGGGGGTTGGGGATCTCTGGTGTAAGGGTTACCTTACCTCTGTGTAAGGTAGGCCTGGGCTATCTATTATGAAGGCTGGCATATTCCACTTCCCTAAATCTGAATATGATATGCAAATATTTTATTTTCATACTATGAAATTTTGCATAATACAGAAACGAGGCACATTAACTGTTGCCATGTGTTCTGTCAATATGGTTTAGTCATTAAGTAATTTATACCCATTGATTTGAGAGTGCTGATATACTTTAATGGATAGACTGCTGGACTTAGAGGAGGGAGAACCAAGTTCAAGTTCCTGCTTAATCACAAAGCTTACTTGGTATCCTTGGGATAAACAGTACTTCCCTATCCTACCTACCTATGCTTTCGAAATAAAATGGGGAAAGAGGAGCCATGTAAAGCAGCCATGGTCATTCTTGGTCCATGTAAAGAAACATAAAATGTCATACACATGGTTTTGTAGTGATATTTGCATGAGATGGCTACCATAATTTTTTATGAATGGCAACTGCCCCACAAATCCATGGGTATACCAAAATAATTCCCCACACATGACAGCACCATCTCAAACCTTAACTTTTATTGCCATATTTTTCTGTTTATAAGATGCCTCCGTTTATAAGATTCCCCCCCCCTTTTCTAACCCCAAAATTAAGAAAAGTTAGCTTTGAATATTCAGCCTCTGGGCTCAGAAATCTTGGACATAAGGAGTCTCTGCTGAACCTGAGCCTACAGGCTCCACCGCCAACGAGGTGTGTTCCAGTTGGTTTGTTCAGCCTCAGCTGACATCAGTTCCATAAGGCTCATGACTGGAGGAAGCTAAGCCTGTTTACTGAGGTAAGGTATGGGCCATTTTGTTCTATCTGTGTTCTCAGTTTCCGTCCGTGTAAAAGACACTCTTAATTTTTAGTGTAATGATTTAGGAAAAAATAGTATCTTGTACACAGACAAATACAGTATTTTTTATTTATTTAAAATATATTTACCCCACCTTTCTCCTTGAAAGGATCCAAGGCAGCTGCATTTAACTTCATTTAACTCTCTCACTCTCTCTCTCTCTCTCTCTCTCTCTCTCTCTCTGTGTGTGTGTGTGTGTGTGTGTGTGTGTGTGTGTGTGTGTGTGTGTGTGAGTGAGAGAGAGAGAGAGAGAGAGAGAGAGAGAGAGAGAGAGAGACTATAAAAACATACTCCGATCTAATGTGGCACCCTTCCTGAACCTCCATCTCCATTAGCTGCTCTTTTGCTTTACTGTTATGGGCTATATTGTAGTAGGAAGCGAAAGTCAAAAAACGTAAACATTTACTTTTTGGTTTACACCATTTAGAATCTTTCAGCCAGTAGAGTCACTGACAGTGTTGCCTGGGATTCTGGAAACTGCACTCCAAATAAATAACTATTTCACTCTCTGCTTCGTAATAAGTACAGATATATATCTCTTTTACGAGCATTTACTGACATGTTCATTTAATTCAGTAGGATATATATCTGAATAAGGAATTCAAAGAACAATACTAAGACAAATACATGTAGAATTTGAAAAAGATGTAAGTTCTTTATGAGTGCAACAAATCTTCTTAAAGGAATTTAAGATCCACAGCAATCACAGCAGCAGCAGCAACAATAATGAGAATAATAATCAGAAGTTTCTAATAACGTATACGTCTTCCTTTCTTGGTAGCCTCATCCCTGTGGACTTAACTTTTGTTGAAGGCATGGCAGGCACTGTCTTTCCAAACTTTCAGGAAACTGGAGAAGGCAGTGCTATATAGAGAAGCCTTTAGCAATATATTCCCCTAAGGTTTTCACCCTGTTTGTTGTGGGATATGGATTGGTGGGATTAATATTTTACATTTTTATTTTTCTTGTGCAAACCACCCAGAGTAGTGGCTTTCACTAAGTTGGGTGGTATAGCAATCTCATAAATAAATAAATGAAAATATGTACCTACTCTTATTTTTGCTGTAACTACCAGTTTTGGCACTTTTTTTGCTAAGCAGCATAAAATGAACCCCAAATCAACATTGTAATTCATGACATGGAAATAACACAAGCAGCACTGAACTTCTTGCCGGCATTCTCCACAAGTCCTGAACTGAATTGTCAGAGCTGCCAAAAAGAAATACATTCAGAGGTAAGTGTGTGTGTGAGTGAATGAGAGATGGGGGGGTGGGGATGGGAAGAGGGAGATGGGGTGGGTGGGTAGAGGAAGCATAATATATATTAATAAGCTGACTACCTGGACTTTTCAGCAAGACCTGTTTCACTGACCCCTAAGTAGACATGCCCTCCAATGGGAAAAGCCTGATCTGTCTGTGATTCAAGAAGACTAGCTATTCATCCAGACACTGACACTGCTTCCTTCTCCTCCTCCAGGTGCAGGCCAGAGGCACAGTCTACCAACTCTTGGCAGAAGTACCCCTTGCTGCCTTAGTGACACCTGGCATACTGACAGACTTTGCTTTGCTTCCTCCCTGCCAAAAACTGGCATAGCCCACCCTAGAGGTCTATGGTAGTTGTGCTTGTGGCAGTAGACCAGGCTGCCAGTCCAGTCCCAGAAATCTAGTAGGGGATAAATGCACTGTACCAGAGAAGGTGGTACACCGTCCATCTTTTTTGGCCCAGAGCAGAGCTCCAGTTGTCCCCAGCCTAGTTATGGCCCTGCTTCAGGGAAGCACCTAACTAGGGTCCCAGGAGCTTACACCACATAAAATGGAATTTATCGTATCTGGAAGGCCAGTAGAATTACAGACTCATTGGCTGAAATCCTGTTGCACAGCTATACCTGCATATGTCAAAGCTGTGCAAATGGTAGGGAAAAAACTGGCAGGGCATAAATAATATCCACAAAGCACATTTGCAGCTGCATCAGAAAGCAGTGCCAATGTGAATGGCAAAACAGGTTGTGCAAACCTGACATGAACTATTGATTGAGAATGGGGCAATAATTTGGGTAACTGCAATGCAAATCGCACAGTCAATTATGCCGTGTGGGCTGCCTGGTTGTAAGGCCTGGCACATTTTTGCAGGCATAACTTAAGAGATGGAAGGGGCTCTAAGGATCATTTCGTCAACACAGCAAGGTGCATAATATCAGAGCTTGGAAGAATCTGTGTTTTGGGCTACAGGTTCTGTAATTTCTCAACAAGGATTCACTGCTGAGGCTTCATTTGATTTCTATGCACTGTTTGGAGGCAGCTCCGCAAACAGATTTCAGCAGTTTGCCAACTAGCTAGGGACCAAGCATTCCCTAATTGCAACATTCATCCAAAGTCTTTAGTTTACACAACTTCTGTGAAATCCTGTTGAATCGTGAATGGCTTCACTTGTCAGCTAATCATGCAGGAGGGCTTGCTTCTTCCTAAATAATTAGTCAAAAAAGGAATTGTATGTTCTGGTTTACTAGCTTTGTAAGAGCTACTTAAGGAAGGAAGGAAGGAAGGAAGGAAGGAAGGAAGGAAGGACTCCAGGCCAGCTGATGGGCTAATTGCACATGAGATG